GGCAACGGTCTACATCACGGTGACGCGTTGCCACCCGGGCCGGGCTCCGTCCCGGCTGCCCGGCCGGGCGTTGACCCGGCGGCGCACTGTAACGGCCGGGCCCGGGCCGGGCGCCGCTGAGGCCACCCGGGCCCGGAACCCGGCCTGGCCCGGTTTTCTGGCCCGGGGCCTGGCCCCGCGGCCGGGCCCTAAAATGGACAGCCCTACTGATAGATCAACTTCCATAAACATGCTAAGGGTTGAATAGTAAGGTATTGATGTATGTATTCGCAAAAAATCTAGACCCTAAGGCTATGTTTGGCAACATCATAGAAATGGGACGAGCGGTGTTTTATTTTTTTTCAACCAAGGTAGAATTGGGGCTTTGGTGGTCCAATTCTAGCTTGATTAAGAGGATAAAAATGAATTAAAAATAAGTTAGGCCAACTCTGACCTAATTTTTACCAAATATAAAGCTATATTGAAACTGGATCATGGTTAATTCTGGCTCATTTTTAAGAGTTTCTTGTTATAGCCTGTAAATAACTAAGTATTAATCTTTCTTGAGTTGTCGACACGCGCCCCACTCCACGCCAGATCAGACATGATCAGAGCCTAGACGACTCGAATCGCTATTACGGCCAATTCCATAAGCCGACAATTTACATGGCCGACTCGAAAGGTGGTACTTGCCAACCTACCTATCTGATCGAGCTCACAAAGCCTCCACACTTGGCCCACTATCTCAACTGACAACTCTCAAGGCTGAGTAAAAAGGTGGTGTTAGTCGACCTTCTACCAAACGACTGAAGAGGCGATACTTCTCACCCTTATCGCATGGAGTCATTCCTTCTCTACAGGCAGCCCGACTCATTCCTTTTCGTCAGGCCGACTCGTCCCTTCTCGCCAGGCCGAGTGGAAAGGCAGTCCTCATCGAGCCCCCCGCAAAAAGCCAGTCATTATCACATTAAATACGTGGTAAAAAATCATCAGTGCTCTAACCCCAAAAGTCTTTATGACTTATCAAGCTCTATCAGCACCAAGCAGTTGTTGTCGCTTTGCACTAACCATCAGGATAACCATCGTTGTCAGCGGCCGACACTTGTCAGCTATTTGCCGAGTCAGCTATATACCTGGACTCTATCGAAATTACAACATTGCCCCTCTAAACCTACTATAAATAGAGGGATTGTCTGGAGTACATAGGTATGCAATATTCTGCACACTTGGACTGAGAAATTATCCAATTCATTATTTTTTCTCCACTCCAGTTCAAATACTAACTTGATTGTCGGAGGAACAACCAGATAACCCAACTCCAGCCTTTTACGTGTTCTTCATGTGCAGAGAAGAATATTGACCAATAGAGCCAGTCATTTGAAGGAGTTTTAGGAGCTTAACTCTACTTTAACCCAATAAACCCCTTCTTTGATAACTGGCATCAACATTTGCCAATCATGACATAAATCTGAAATGAAGTTTTGTTATCAAAATAGGAACATAAATGTGAGTTTTCTTCAGAATATATAGTGAAATATGATTACTTGATTCTATTGTTGAAAATTCGTACTAATTACATGCAAAATACGCAACAAAAGACTCTATGTATAATAATACTAAGCATGTAGAGAGCATGAAATACAAACAAGGACCATCCTAATTAAATCTAACATGATCCCTTTAATAAAGAGAGCAACCAAGAGCTTTGAAGGCTTACTTTCATTGCGTGATTCGATGGTAGATCGAACAACTCATAGCTCGTTCTCCTTGTTATTGTAAACCTCCTTGTAGTGGGTCTCCAAGTCTTCAAGTAATCGAGCTTGATAAAATCGGAGTCTTTTTGAGACACAAGTCAAGATATCCACCCTGGGGTACTATAAAATCCTACTACTTTCTCTTACTCAAAGATTGCTAGAGTTTAATAAGAGGTAGAACTCTCTTTTATTCTCTTATGAAAAAAAACCACTTAGCTAATTTTTCATTAACATTTTCATAAGAGAGAGAGAGAGCTCATATATATAGAGTGAGATATATCATGACTCATCTCATGAGTCATCTAAATGTAATGATTCCTTTCATGAGTTATGCAATGACTCATCTCATGAGTCATGCAAAGAGTCATGAAGAATCAAAACTATGTGCTAAAACATGTTCCCAAACCATACCACATTAATGACTCATCTCATGACTCATTAATCAAAGTATAATGAAGTGTGTATTTCATAAATAAAAATACCACATCAATACAGTGTTTCATAAATATAGTATTTCGTAATTTTCCAATCATTAACTAATAAGTCATCATATGACCAAAAAATTAATGAGTTGACCAAAAAGTCAATCAGTTGACTAAAAGTTAACTTTATAGAAAAAATACCGGAATTCATTTCTTAAGCACATAACATTCTGATTTTACCGATACATATAATCATTTATGTGTATCCGGTGAAAATCATATATGTGTATCAATCATACGCATTTAACTCTATAAATTGTATTTCATAGGATTCAAGTACATGCTTGGTGTGACTCTAGGGCCCAACTTAAGACTCGGCAGTGGATGATCATATTCACAAGTACAATAAAGGTGCTAGCTACACATGAAGACTACCCGGGTATAAGTTATGATAAATATCAGTAAGATGCGTACACAATTTTATCAGGATCACTCAGTGATAATACGTACAGTCCGGTCTCTTCGTCAAACTATGTCAAACTATCGAACCTAGGGTATGGTAAACTGTCTAACCCTAATAGCTTGATTAGTGTTTGTTGATATTAAACTCATAACCTATAAGATCAATCTGACACTCAGATTATCTTAGTTACCTCGGCCAATGATTTTCATACTATAGTTGTATCAAACAACCTTATAACATCAACCCCCTATACTCGTAGAGACGAATTCCATATTGACATCTCAATATCTACTTATGTCTCAGGATGCACCCAACAAGAACTGTTATGCACAACTCAATGAAAACTGTGGTTAGGTAAAAGTCTAAGTACACCTATACTGACATGTAAGATATTGCACTCATGCCTCAGGTCAAGAGACTATTTTGTACTATATCACTTGAGAACTTCTATTTGACAGTTAAGTATAATTACCAACTAGACGTTCTCGGTGAGTCGTTCGGTCAACTCATTCACTAATGAGTCACCTGTATACTGTATCTTGATGCCTCAGCATCAATGATCTAAGAGATGGATCATCGCCCTTCTAAAGGACAAATAGAGTATACACTAGTCTTTACCAAAGTGATGATGTCATATCTCAACACTTCATCGACTATGAACATTTTAGAATATACGTTAGTGACTAATCAGATATCTTCTTCATTACGATCACTATCGAAATTCTGATAGTCTAGTATCATTCTAAATACTTTATCTGTATTTAAAAAAATACCTGATAAATACTGACCAAAATAGCATACTATCATTTTGAACAATGATATTATATTCATATAGGTCCTGTTACAATATACAATTATTATCTGCAGAGCACCTATATCTAACATCTATAACTTATACAAAATACTTGATTAGGATAATTCTAGTTTGACTAACATTCTCAAAATTTTCAAATATTGTTGAATTTAATATTTATATGTGGTTATCTAATTCAGATGAAGAAATTAAGCGAACAAATAGTATTTGATAAGCAAATAAACGATTAGTAAATACTTGTATTTGATCCATTTCTCGTAAATAAAATTGACTTCTCTTAAATAATCTCTTGAATTTGCTTTCTGAACCATTTTAATCAATAATTATAGGATAATAGAGGTCATCTCCACTTCTCCAGTATTTACTACTTTGTCGTAAATAACCATCTTTATGGGTTTTGGATAGCGACCTTCATATGAAAGGCAGAGTTTGGACCGTGTGATCGGGATTGTTTTGGCTCCCGCCTAATGGGCCAGCGGTCAGCTGTCTGTCAGTCAAGCGTCATTCAAACAAATTCTTCATCAAATGATGGAGGCCAACTTCAAAGATTATCCAATTTATTAGAATTCCTAATATTTAAACACAGCTCAATTTGTAATACAATCTAAAGAAAAAACTAGCGGGACTCTCCAAACACTAAAAAGAGTCGCACTAGAAATTGATTGCTGTTTTTTCTTAAAACAAAAGCACATGTCCACAAGCTTTGAACCTAACCTTAATAAATCCTTAACGACGGTCCCTCTTGCTAAAAGAAACACTTTATGTTCACCATCAAACAAGACATTTCCTTTGTCCCAAAGCTAGTTATCCCAACAAACATGCATATAAAAAATTTCGACTAATGACCTTTTATAATTGTTGTCTCAACATCTCTCTTTCACATGTATTATCACAAAAGAATATACTTAATTGCTTATAGAAAGAAAGTCACTCACAAGTTACAAACAAAAGAAATGATTACAAAAATCCAATATTTTCGATTCATCGTATTAAGGCTAAATAGCACTTAAATACCTTATAGTTTCACTCTTTTAGTACTTATATACCCTCAATTGTGTTTCGTAACATTTACTCCGAGTTATTCAAAATTGATACGTTAATACCCTCTATTTTGCGAACATAAAAATTTTTATCTGAAAGTTCCTTTATAGCATTCATATACTAATTTTACAACTTTCTATCCATTGAGTTTGTTGAATTCATTACTAAATATTTCAAAGTTCTATTTTAAAAATACAATTAGCATACATTTAAATTGAATTTTGGATAGGTTTAATAGTAATTTAACAAATATTAATGGTTAAAAAACTCTTAAATTAGCATATGAATGGTATAAATGAACTTTTAAATGAAAATTTTCACGTCTTCATAAACGGAGGATATTAATGTGCCAATTTTGAACAACTCAAGATATATAGAGGCTATAAAATAGAACTAAGGTATGCAAGTGCTAAAAGAGTGAAATTATAAGGTATATAGGTGCTATTTAGCCTTGTATTAATGGTATACTAGATATATAACATATTAATCTAAGATTGCCCTAATTTTCATTTATACTCTCTCTGAAATAAATGGATAAAAAACTACATTCATTTCATAAGCACCAACATTTACAAACCGAAGTACTACATTACCCATAAACATGATATCCTGCTATAAGTACAATTTATCAATATTCACAAACCCAATACTATCACAAATCCTCAAGCAAAGAAAACACAAATACAAAGCCAGCAATCCAATCCCAAACACCCTATCAAGCTTCATCCCTCGCTTTGGCAATATCAGCAATGCCCACAACAACCCACACACCAAAAACCCTAGCGTCACCAGGATTGTAGAGTCTTGAGGAACAACATAAGGAGACGGATACGTACCCCAAGACCTAAACACAAGGGAAAAACCTAAACCTACCAACGTGTTAAAGATTGGGACAGAGTAACACCCAGAGATTGCAATCTGGACTCCATCTTCACCCCCTTTCAAAGCCATTGCCACATTCGCTATCAAATCTCCTAATGAATTCCCCCACGCCAACACTGTCACTGCTAAAATCGAAGGCCCGATGTTAAAAATGTGACCTATTGAGATGAGCAAGGAAACCAGTTCCTCTGCCAATATATAAAACCAAATGATGCTCATCAAGAACCCGCCAGCGAGCCAAGTGAACAAATACTTGTTAGGTGGTTTCGAGGTCTCCGTTGTCTCTAATGCAATAACACCAAGAACTAGTCCTATAAGCGCACTGAAGAGGTAGATCGTCAAGCTTTCTTCGGAGGCTAACACATTTCGCTTTGAATTCCACAGCGTCGCCAGAAGAATTGGCGACAAGATCACTGAAGAAATCGCAAATGGCTTCGACCACCTCTCTTCGGATACATCAGGGATTGTTAAGCGTCGAGGGAGATATAGAGGCAATTCTAGCAAATACATCAAGAAAATGCACCAATTTGGCTTCTTGAATTCTTCTTCTTGGACCTCTAGCTTTGGCACAAAGAGGTCATTTTCTATTTCAATGCTCTCTAACAAAGGCACATCGAATTCTCTTTGATTCTTCCTCCAACAATAAGAAATTGCAACAATCACAACATAAACAATATAAAGAGAAGCAAATACAATTGCTCCTCCAACCCCAATTTCTCCAACAATCAGAATACCAAGTAGAAAGCAAAGAACAATCACATAGAAGCAAATATCTCGAACGAAGCTGAATCGATCGACAGAAATCAATCGATCTCCAACACAGACGCTAATAACACCAACAACAACACTAGTCACAAAGAAAGCTCCGCCAAGGACACTGCTGAGCCCGACCTCCCCGACTTCAGAGCTCGCAAACGACGCAATTGTCGAAAATGCATCGGGTGCTCCATTGCCTAAAGAGAGAAGAGTAACCCCTGCAACTGTCGGCGGCAACCTCAATAGCTTCGATATGCTTTCGAGAGAGGAGCAAAAATAAACAGAGGCAGTGTTTCCAAGCAAATAGAAGAGGACTAGCAGCCAAAGGGCTAGAATTGAGTAGCCAATAAACGGGTGTTCACCAAAAACACAGTAGAAGAGGTGGAGGTAATCGATATAGCCCTGAGGAGAGCATGGGTTATTGGCCTTGATATAGAAGCATTTTGTTTTGTGGTCTTTGAGACTATCGAATTCTTCGCAGTTCTGGGGGTTGATTGAATGAGAATTGAAGAGGGTTTGGGGGGAGGAGAGATTGAAGGTGAAGAGGAGAAAGATCAATAAGAGGAATGAGATGTTGAGGAGAATTTTGTGGGGTTTTGGAGGTGAGAGATGAGAAGCCATTGAAGATTAAAGAGAAAGAAGGGAATTTTAGGATGAGAGATGAATTGGGGACATGGGTTTTGGTGAGTAGACAGGGTTGGAGTTGATTTTGGCGAGAATTTTTTGGGTTTTAATGATTTTTAGAGAGAGAGCGCAGGGATTTTGGGGAAGACAGAGAGTGCGTGGAGTTGAGAGGTCGATGCTTTAATAAATGTGGATGGGTTAGTTTTGGCTACAGATATAGAGAGGAGATGGACGTGTCGGGTTTCTCTCAAACTTCGGTCACACTAATGCACTTTCGGTGACTTTTCGATATTGCCCACAGAAACTTGCTTACTTTAATAATACACCCTCAAAGAATTCGGTTATGTTTTCAATATACTCCCTTAAGTGCCTTTATGTCATAGAAGAAAACTCTCTCTTGTGACCCTCACTATTCAACTTCTATTTTATGTTGGATTATACACGGTTTTCATAGAGCTTTAATATCCTAAAGTTTGTATGTGCTATATGTATTACAGTTTGCGTTCCTTGCTGAAAAATCGTAAATCAATAAGTAATAGAGAGGAAAAGTAAAATAAAAAAAACTAAAGATTGCCAAAATTTTGAATAGGCAATGCTTTCTATATTAGGGAGGTCAATTTTGATAGCATGACGAAACATATATATTTTTAGTATTTTTCTTCTATGGTAATTGACTTCTGCATCCTCAATTTATGGGTTTTCTTAAATAAAGGTGGTGTCAGACTTTTTGAACGGATAATATTTGTATTTAACTTTGGATTTGCAAGGGGTGAAGAGAAGTTAAGGGAAACTAGGTGAGAGAATGAAAGGGAATGGAAGGGAGTTCCCTTCCCCTTGGTTACACCCCAATTTGTGGGGTAACAAATTTTATACTATTAGACCCCGTTTGGCAAATGGTTAATGAAAATGGGTTAAAGAGAAGGATTAATGTACTTAGCCCATTTGATAATCCGAAGGACTAAAATATTAACCCGTTAAATAAGTTTTATTTTAGCCCTTATGATCAGTTTTAGTGTTTGGGAATAACAATGATTTTGACTATTTTTTTTTATAATTAGAAGGGTTAACTCTTATTCCATCTAAATAGGAGTATTAGTAAACCCCTCATTTTGAGGGGTTAACTCATTTTAACCCCTCTAGAGGGGTTAACCCATTTTAACGCTTATATAGATTTGTTGTGTTTGGCAGGTTAAGAAGGGGTTAAGTCTCCTTAACCCCTCACTTAACCCTTTGCCAAACGGTACCTTAGGGGGTGAACCAAGGGGAACTAGGGTGAATAACTTCACCTCCTAAATGTTCCCAAACAAGGTGAATAGAGGTGAATGGTTCCCCTAACTTCCCTTCACCCTTATTCCCCTCAATCCAAACAAGCCCTAAAACTAATCGACTAGGAAACCTTATAAATAAATACAAAAGTGAAATTTCTCTCTACAAAAAAAACCTACGGAGGTGAGGTGTTTAATGCAAGGACGGTTGACTTCAGGGGGGTTATTATGTTAACAATACTGTGAACAGTTCAACTGAACTTGCAGATTCTGTGGAGCTTCCAACAGATACAATCCCATCAGATGCTCAACTACATCTAAGAGATAGGAGCAATAATCAAGGAGCATCTACACTGATTTTACCTGTATAGAAAATCTCAGTTCTGTTATTCTGTTCCTTTGTTTTATCTTTTTTGTTAACATAGTTGTTACTCATACTTTGTAACTATAAGTACATGAATACAATACAATAGAATGTAAGACTTTCAACTTCATCAGTTTTCTTTCTTGGTATCAGAGCTCATTGGTTCACACCTCCTCTCGATCATTTTTCCTTTCAAATGGCCTCTTCATCTTCATCCTCCACCCCTGCATCCCTCACTACTGATAACTTTGTTCTTCCAACCATTAATACTGCTTCCTTTCATAAGCTTGATGGTTCCAACTACCTTACTTGGACCACTCAGTTTCTCCCTGCCTTACGTACCTTTGATTATCTGGGTATTGTCGATGGCTCTGAATCTTGTCCCTCTCAGTTTGTTCTTGACACTGAGGGTAAACCCACTTCAGAAATTAATCCTGCCTATCTTCTTTGGCAGAAAAAGGATCAATTCCTTTTGGCTTGGATCAATGCCACTTTGAGTGAGAAGGTGTTGGCTACTGTTTATGGCCTCAACTCTTCTCGCCAAATTTGGACACACCTAGCTAACCGCTATGCTCCTAATTCTCGCTCTCGAATTTCTCATCTGAAGCGACAACTTCAGACTCTAAGTCAAGGATCTCAATGTTGTTCTGACTTTCTTCTTACTGCCAAAAACTGGGCTGACCAGCTTGCTGCTGTTGGCAAGCCAGTAGATGATGATGATCTTATTTCTTATGTGGTAGGTGGCCTTGATCCCTCCTACAACCCTTTCATCACTTCACTGAGCTTCGCAACCAAAGATTCTCCTATCTCCTTTGATGATTTCCAAACTGAGTTGCTAAATTTTGAACACCTACTTGATGCTCAAAAACAAGTTGTTCCACCTGTTTTTGACCCTCAAGTAGCTTTCTTCTCACACAAACCTCGTCCACCAACTGGTTATAACAACAACAAGAAGAACAAGTCTCAGTACCAGCCACGACATGGTTCAAGCTCTCAGTCTGGTCAGAGATTTTGGCAACCACATCAACATCCCCAAGGACGTGCCACAGTCGCTACACCACCCTCTTCTAATGTTTTCTCAAACAACCGTGTCCCTTGTCAGATTTGTGGCAAGACTAGTCATCAAGCTCTTGACTGCTACCACCGGATGGACTACTCTTATCAAGGACGCCATCCACCATCTAAACTTGCTGCAATGGCTGCTCACACTCATACATCTGCTGAGATTGAACAACCTTGGTATTTGGATAGCGGTGCCAATAATCATGTGACTGCAGAACTTGGTAATCTCACTCTTCAAGAGCCTTACAATGGCAATGAGGTTGTCATGGTCGGAAATGGTAATGGTTTGAATATTGCCAATACGGGTTCATCACTTCTTGTTACTCCTAATTCTAATCTTGCTCTAAATAATGTTCTACATTGTCCTCAAGTTTCCTCAAATCTTCTTTCAATTCAAAAATTTTGCCATGATAATAATTGTTTCTTTGTTCTTACCGCCACTTCTTTTCTTGTTAAGGACATGCTGACAAAGAAGACCCTTCTGCAAGGACCAAGTGAAGCTGGACTGTACCCAATCTACTTGCAACAGTTTCTTACCAATAAGGCATCTCGTCATCCTACTCATGGCTCCTCTTTTACAGCTCTCTTAGGAGCAACAGCACCCATGAGCATTTGGCACTTCCGTTTAGGTCATCCATCGACTTCAGTAGTTCAGCATCTTTCTACTAATTCTTTGTTATGTGTTTCTTCTTCTAATAAATTACAAACTCTTTGTGAGGCCTGTCAAGTTTCCAAGAGCAGAAAACTTCCATTTTCTCAATCAACTAGAGTCTCAAAAACTCCTTTAGAGCTTATTCACTCTGATGTATGGACTTCTCCAATTATTTCTGTTGGTGGATGCAAGTTTTATGTAGTTTTTGTTGATGATTTCACTCGATTCTCCTGGCTATTTCCCTTAAAAATGAAATCTGATGTACTTTCGTGTTTCATAAAATTCAAGACATTGGTTGAGAATTTATTTTCATGCACAATCAAGCAATTCCAAAGTGATAATGGTGGGGAATACACCTCACTATCATTTCAAAACTTTCTTGCCTCAAATGGTATTCAACATCGATTAACTTGTCCATATACATCTGAGCAAAATGGCATTGCGGAACGCAAACACCGCCATATCACCGAAACTGCTCTATCCCTACTTGCTCACTCACATCTTTCACAAAAATATTGGGTTGATGCATTTCTAACTGCTGTTTATCTCATAAACCGAATGCCAACCCCTGTTTTGGGCAATCTTTCTCCATTTTATAAGCTTTTTCATCATCACCCAGACTATAAACTCCTTCGTATTTTTGGTTGTGCTTGTTACCCACTTCTCAGGCCATATAATGCTCACAAACTCTCATTCCGCAGCAAGAAGTGCATTTTTGTAGGCTATAGCACCAATCAAAAGGGCTATCGATGCTTAGATCCGTTGACCAATCGTGTCTATATCTCCCGCCATGTTGTATTTGATGAGAATCTGTTTCCAGCAAAGGTTACAGTACCAGCTACAACTTCTCCAGCAGTTGTGTCTTCATCCAGCAATGATCCATTGATCACCTCAGGTACACCCACAACACCTACTTCTTTACCTATTATTTCTTCATCTGATCCTCACATAAATTCTGTTTTACCTTCTATTGTTTTACCTTCTATGCCTCTCTCCTCTCCTACCTCTACAAACACATCTCATCCAACTTCTACATATGAACCTCTCATATCAGATGTCTCTCATACACCTTGTCATCCCTCCCCTACATTGTCTGATTCAAGACTTGACACCCCTCCAGCTATTCCTACACGTATGGTCACTAGATCTCAAACCAACTCCCTCAATCCAAAACAATTTCCTGACCATCAGCTCTATTACACCACAAAGCATCCTCTAACTGTCCTCTCTGCTATCACTCTTCCCCCTGAACCTAAGACCTTCAAACAAGCAGTTGGGAACCCGCATTGGCACGCAGCCATGCAATCTGAATTCGATGCCCTCATGACCAACAACACATGGACCCTTTGTCCTCGTCCAACTCATAAAAAGATTATACGCAACAAATGGGTTTTCAAACTTAAGCAGAAGGCTGATGGTTCCATTGACAGATACAAAGCACGGTTGGTGGCTAAAGGCTTTGATCAAGTGTTTGGAGTTGATTTCATAGAGACGTTTAGTCCGGTCATTAAACCAGCAACCATACGTCTCATTCTTTCTCTAGCTGTTCATTACAACTGGTCCATCCATCAACTAGATATTTCTAATGCTTTCCTTCATGGCTATTTGGAGGAAGAGGTTTTTATGGAACAACCAAAGGGATTTGAGAATCCATTGCATCCAGACTATGTTTGTAGACTCCATAAGTCGCTTTATGGTCTCAAACAAGCTCCAAGAGCTTGGTTTCTTCGACTTTCTCAAGCTTTACTGGAATTGGGCTTCAGAGGTTCTAGTGTTGACCCTTCTTTATTTACCTATCATCATGGTTCAGTCTGTGTCTTCATTCTTGT